ATTGACAACCTTTTTTAGTTTTGACCATGAGCTTCCTCGGAGTTATTCTAGATAAGTTTCCTTAGCTTTGAGCTCCATTTGCTAGCTTAAATCAGCTCATTTCCATGTGGTCGAATGCACCTTCACACAAAGTATAAAACATAAATAAGTAAATATAATAAAGAAAGCTTATAATAGCTTTAAACATAAAGATGTGGATTATGGTTTTAACAATAGTTTATATTTCATATGATAATGAAAGGGAAATATTATTATAACCTATGACATAACATGTATTAATGAATATGGTCATAACATAGAATAAGATAGATGAAGCATGGAATATGAACATATACATTATAATGACAGAATGTAAGCAAAGGAAGATATAGAAAACCCATCTCGTTTAATCTTTATGAAGGTTGAAGATGCAAGTAACGTCATCACAAGAATGTGTGTTGCTTGTAGGTCGGTTTGAATCACATCATCTTCCCTTAGGTGGGAATTGTTAAGGAAAAAAATAGTATTGAATATCGAGTTTGTAGTCAATTAAGTCAATATTACTTTATTAATTCAAATATGGAATGTTGATTTAGTGAAGAAATATTAAAATCGAGACTAATAATTAAATTCGAAAATATATAAGTATGAGAGAGATAATATTAATTTGGTCAAAAAGATGTCAAGGAAAAGATTTTTTTTCTTATTTAAATCTTTATATGATTAATATTTATGATTTTACGAGTTTGTGACTGTCGCAAGCTCATTCGGTTTCTTCATAATAATAACTTCCATTAGCGACGTATACTTGAACCTTCAGTTTTCAATAATGTCATTGTTTAGCCGTACTTTGGTGCTTGTAGGTACGAACATATAATTTTATGTTAAATGGTTAATTTTTAAAACTTCAGGAAGGAATACACTAATACAATTTTAGAAGGTGACAATATATTTTTAATAAAAAAATAAATAAATCTAGAATATATGATAATTCTTTATTTTTAGAAAGCGACTATCCCACCAGCCCCTCGATACACCCCTGCATGCTTAGATGTTCAACAATGGTGTATTTCATCACACTGCTATAAATATTGCATCTCTTTAAGACTTCTCTGCCTATGACGGTCCTAATGAAATTCCCCCGAGTAATGGTAAGAGTCTTCCATATCTCACATTCTTCACACCACTGTTCCCATATCTTCCTTGCCTTTCTTTTAACTAAACTTATGTTGAATTATTTTCTTTTTACTTTTTTGTCAAGGATCAACACACGGGGTCCCTCTTATGTGGACTAATGATGTTTACTATACACAAGGATCCTCCCTTCCTAGGGTTCGTGCTAGTAATTTCTCGTCTGACTCTCAGTTACATCATAATTTGGATTATCCCTCCAATAAAATTTGAACTTTTATGTTACGCAAATATAACATGAAATTTTGTTCTTGTTCTATAAATAAATTTTTTTGTCATTCTTGTCATGCCAATAAAAGTAATAAATTCCCAATTACTCAAAATACTGTCTGTTCTCGTCCTCTTGAGATACTTTATTATGATGTTTAGAGTTTTAAATAAGTAATTTTTATTGTCGTTCATGTTATCTCATTATGAGTTCTCCTTTATCTCTCTTCCTCGAATGAAATAGTGTCTTCCTCTCCCTTGTCATCTCGTACTTGACTAAAGCGTGTTTTTCATCCCAATCCCAAATACTTTGGTTTGTGGTTTGTTAGTATCACTACAACTATTCCTTAGCTCCAACTTTAGAAACCAAAACAATTACTCAAGCATTAAAGGATCTGTTGTGGCATTAAGCCATGGGTGATTAATACTCTGCTTTACTTCGTAACCAGTCTAGGATCATGTTCCGCATTATGTTGTAAAATAGAAACTGTAAAATTAAACAATTAGCACTGACAGGATAATAATAAAACAATAAACAAGAAACCGATAAGTCGTTTCGTGGTATTAACTACTGTCTTAGAAACAAATTCACCTCGATGTGTATAATCGCCATAGTAGGCGGTCGTCCCTGAGGTTAACAGAGTCTCTTTCAGAATTCGTACTCAAAATCCGAAGTGGAGAAATGGTGGTACTACTACTCTCTTAGCTTTGAAAGAACGGAAAGCTTCAAAAATGTTTAGAGAGTGGAGAATAGGTCGTAAGCAAAGAATGATACTTTTTTATGATTTGAAAAGCTGAAATGTTCAATTATTTATAAAATTAAACGCGGGGTTAAAAACGTCATTCAGAAATCAGTAATAAAATCTGATTTAAATTTCATGAAAACAACTGATTAATTGCTATAATTATTCTGCTGTAACAACTCGAACCTAGCCTCAAACTCGTCAGATTCACTTAGAAGAATAATTGTAATAACAACTATGTAACAGCAGATAAAACGACTGTAATTAAGCGGCTGTAACTGCTGTAATAAAATAACTGTATAAGACTGTAATTTTGTCCAGATACACCCTTATCTACAGCCAGACAGCTCTCCAAATATTAAGTTATCAATTACCACAATTAAATCAACGAAATTAATGCTGTCAAATTACAATAATAAAAAAACTTTTCGTTTTAAAATTATTTTACAGTATATAAAACTCAAAGAAGAAAACTTTCACAATTTTAATAAACATAAGGGAAAATAGGAATTTTCCTTAAAAAGACAAAGCACATGCAAAAGTGTTCAAAGATACCTATAACCACAGCCACAACCAAAAATAAGTATATAGTGAACAACACACATGTGTGAGGGAATTGTCATACCACATACAACATGAAAGGAAAGGGTAACTCTTTAAATACTCTTCCAGAGATATTTTTCTTCTCAATTTGGAATGTATGCCCTTACACTCTTAAGCATTACCAACACGTTCTACGCACATGGGTGTTTCACTTTTCAGGTGAAGCTTCATTAATAATAAAAAGCTATTCCTGGGAGTATGGTCGAGAATATTTTGAGACTTTTTGTTATGAAATAATTACAATAAGTATCAGATAGCCTGATGCCAATAACATATTCTTTAGTAGCAGTTGTGAACGGGTGTTTTTGGAGCAACCTTCAGGATATATTGATCTTAATAATCCATCGTATGTTTTTTGTATTCGCAAAGCTCTGTATAGTCTTAAGAAAGCACCAAGAGCATGATATCTTGAACTTTCGAAGCATTTGTTGCAATTTAGCTTCCGAAAATCCAATTTAGATGTTTATTTATTTATGTTACTAATGGGATCTACATGTATTTCTTCGTATATGTGGGTAACATTATTCTTACAGGTAATAAAACTGAGTTTATAAATCAGTCTCTCAATTATCTGAAGTTTTCTCTAAAAGATCTAGTTCTCTTAGTCACTCTCTTAGCATTGAGATTATTTCTACTCCATCTGACTTGTTTCTATCTCATGCACACTACATCTAGGATATTTTGACTCAATCTTATATGGATGGGGCAAAACCTATCTTCACTCCTATGTCCTTTGAGAATAAGTTACTACTATCTGATCTGGCCTTTACGATTGATGCTTTTGATTATCGTCGTTTCCTTGGTCTTCTTCAATACTTGAGTCTTAATCGGCTACATGTATCGTTTGCAGTCAATGGCTTCTCTTAGTACATGCACAGTCGCTAGGCTACTAAACGTATTCATAGTATCTCAAGGGTACTCCATGTCATGGCTTAGTTCTTCGCCCTCGGTCTCAATTACATCTCACAGCCTTTATCGATGTGTATTGGGGCAGATTGAACACGGATGACTGATCCACTGCTGCATATGTACTATACCTTTGCTCTAATATCATTTCTTAGAAGTTTGCTCACCAAAAATCTATTTACCGTTCTTCCATTGAGGCAGAGTATCATGCCTTATGTCACAACTGAAATATTTTGGGTTCAGAATCTTCTTGAAGAACTTGTGTTCTCTCTTCGTCAGCCACCATCACTTTTTTGTGACAATCTTAGCTCAATATATATCTGTAAGAATTCAGTATTTCACTCTCGTATGAAGCATCTAACACTTGATTTCTTCTTTGTTCGAGACTTAGTTGCTGATGAGTCATTGTTCATCATGTTCCTTCCAAAGCTTAAGTTGGAAATGTTCTTTCAAAACCACTTGAACGAGCTCTTTTTTCTCCACTTTTGGCTTAAAATTGGCATTTCCAATATAAAAGATAAAAGTTAGAGATGAACACCTTTTTATCTTGTTGATAGACTCCTTTGTATAGTCTTCTTTGTATCCTAAAACATTCTTGTATCTTAGGACTCTTCTCTCTTAATCTCTTGATATATATCCGACTATAACATTATTGAAATAATAGGAATTTCCTGTGGATTGTCCGGGAACTTCAAAGCATTGTTGTATCTTCTAATCCTTTTGTATAGTCTTCTCTCTTAATCTCCACTTATTTGCTTATACAGCGGTCTGGAACTTCAAAGCAGACTATGCCAGTCACTCCTATACTATGCTGTTAGGAATTGCTTGTGGTTTGGCTGGGAAGTTGTGTAGATACATTGGGTGGATATGGATATTATTGGCTCTTCTACTGGGAGATTTTATGCTTTTTGCATTTTCCTTTCAAATGTCCTCACACCAGTGCTGTTCATCATTCTTAATAATTTTGAAGCCTTTTTTTTTTCCTTTGAACTTGAAACAGCTTGCTTGAGCACCAGTTTCCCTGTTTCCCTGTCCTCTTATTCACCCTGCTGAATGTACCTTTGGTGGGCAGTCTATCAGATCAGAAACGTTCAAAACCGATTCCCTTTCATTCTCTCTATTTGTTTCTTCACTGTTTGCTTTTGCAAATGTTTCAGTTTCAGTTTCTGAATGTTTTGGGTGAGGATCAAATCTAAGTATTTTGCGAATAGATCTGGAAGAGAGAGACTTGCAACCTTTTCAAGTGAGGATCAAACAGGAAACACTGTCAAATAATCAATGGATGGTTGTCACAATCACTTTACAAGTTTCAACATGAAAAACTACCCAAAATCACAAGGGAAAAAATATATAATATGAAGAAGAAGAAGAAGAAAAACAACAATGTGGTCAAGGAATGACAAAAAATGAATTCCAAGACGAATGTACAAAACTTCAAGGGGATATTGAACAGAGATCCTCGTAAACTTGTCTGATGTTAGGCCTCTCATTAACAGGAAGAATACACCTCAATGATATGGCAAGCAAATCATCCATTGCTCTTGTGTGTTCTTCTCCACTAGCTATGTCTCTGTCAATACAGTCCATTCCCCGTCCTTCTTGATCGCATAACCGAACCCAATCCGTCAGATCCACTGCTCCCGATTGACCTGATATTATGTCACCAGCACTTTTTCTTGTTAACAATTCCATCAGGATCACTCCTAATGCATATACATCAGCCTTAAATGATGGGACTGGTTTAGACATGGAAGCAAGTTCGGGAGCCCGATATCCAAGAGCTCCCAGATTCAATATCTGCTCAGCAATTCCTGTCGACTTCATTAGCCGGTGTAGACAATAATCAGTAAGGCAAGCATGGTAATCACGATCAGAAAGGAGTATGTTTGTCGGCTTCAGGTTTCCATGAGGCAGACCTCTATCGTGTAGGTATAACAGACTCTGAGCAACTTCCACGGCAACTTTAAGTCTTTGGCTGAAAGATAATGGGGAGTACCTCCGAGGAGTAGTTTCTGCATTAACATACATATATACACATGATGATTCAATGAAAACATAATGGCAGAATCTCGGTCAATTTCACTAACTCTTAAAACATTACTGATACAAATATATATGCCATTCTTCATTTACAAGAATTGGCATAGATAGGCGATATTCCAAGAATGGGTTAATGCAACCGCAAATATTCTTTTCAGCATTCAGCTCCATCTTTTGCAAGGAAGGAAAGCAGCAAAAGGTGTAGTCAAGGAGAAGGTGAAAGAAGCAAAATTTAAAATTAGTTCAGCCAGAGTACCGGAGCCTAAACTCTAAACCAAATTATATCTATGCTTATCTTCCTATTAAATCGCTGTAACCATTTCTTGTTTGGAACCATGTAGTTTCAATATTTAGTACTCAGGGTTTTTTTGTGCTGACTGATTACAGGTTCATCAGGACACATAATCAGGTTGGTAAAGTCACATCAGTAGTGAACACCGGTGATTATAAGATAAGCAAATGCACCTAACTTTTTAGGTTTAATTGACAAACCTTATAATCATAGAAAACTACTCAATTTCATTTGACACTGATCTAATAATTTTGCATCCAAGGAAGTTAAAATACAGTTAAGCATCAACGCATCACTTCTGTTACACGGAATATGTTAAAAACAATTGCAGGAGACCTCAACAGTGACCTTATATGCCTAATCAAGAATATTATCCAATTTAATTTCATAACTATTTGATGGTAATAATGCCATAGGTAGAGCAGACACTTCAATTTCTGTTTCTAGGTGCTGCTACGTGTTTAAGGAAAGGGAGATGACGAGACTCGAATTCGAAAATTTCCATAACATGCACACAAAATACACCAGACCATACTGAATATGCAAGTAAATAACACTCCTGCCAAAATTGAGGTAGGAAAGCATTCGGCAAATAAACTAAGAAGGTAAAAGCTAGAAATAGTCCAAACTAACATAAAAGGAGTTTATTACAAATATGTTAACTGCACCGATTTTAACATGAATTGACTTGCTTTTAGTTTCAACGTAACTAGTAGCAGTCGCGAAAGAAAAAAGCAGCAAGTGCTGACCAATAATATTAACATGCAAGAAACTATGAGCAAATTTAGCATGGAAATGGCAAACAAGAGCATATAAATCATAATCCATGTGATAAGATGACTTTGAAGACTTCAAGGATATAACTAGCAAACAAACATTAAGATTTAGTTAAATAATCCCAAACATAAAAGAAAAAGATAAGTACTAAGAGCTCTCACCATAGAGATGCAATGCCAAACTATCACACTGGATATAATCTGATAGGAGAAGCCTTTCTTGTTCCCTTGGACCCCAATAGTATGCTCGGACTGGAACAAAGTTAGGATGCCTCACAGACCCTATCTTTTTAACTTCCTTAGCAAATTCTTTCTTATGTTTAACCAGTCCTACACGCAACCACTTCACAGTCAACATACGTCCATTACTCAGAGTAGCTTTATACAGAGTTCCATGGCTGCCTCGTCCAAGAACTTCTGCTGCAGCTCGAGATAACTCCTCAATAGTGAATGATAATGAAGTATCAAGGAAGAACAATTCTCCAGCCAAACGATCTGGTGAGTTAACATCCAATGTCACAGACTGTTCACATGTTTCAATAAAATGTGGTGATGATGCTAATGGAGAGCCTGGGGAGGATTTCCTCCCAGATGATACCGACTCAATATCTAGAAGATTAGGTTTTACAGATGCGGAAGCCGTGGTCACTCTCTCAGCCACACCATGCTCAACAATTTCAGGAACAAATTCTTGCTGTCCAGACAGTGACCTAGAATTTGGAGTAAGCAAGTGATCATGTGAAAAACTTAATGAAGTTTGTGGCCCCTGAACATTTGAGTGGAACTTGAAACGGGAGGGTCGTGCAAGCCCACCTGACTTTGCATCAGCTCCAGTAGCTGTGTCAAAAAATCCACATCTTCCACGAAATTCTTTAATTTGTGCTCGGTAAAGTGCCAATAATATAAAAACAATCATTACAGCTGCTACGACGGAGGCAACAATAATTGCTACTGTAACATTTCCCTTTGAATTATGATGTCTCGCATAACCAAGGGTTTGATCCTGAGTTGAGTCTGTTGATGGCATGCCCTTAGGGAGCATTAGCAATGAGTTTCCTGGAGAAAATGAAGACCTAGGGAAGCCTCTCAAATTTTCTGGAATATGACCCGACAAATCATTATTGGACACATTAAATTCACTAAGGCTAGTTGAAAGGTTATCAGGGATTTTACCCTTGAAGTTGTTTCTCGATAAATCAAGGGATTCCAAATCACTAAGTTTGCTCAATTCACTAGGTAGCTGGCCTGATAATTCATTGCCTGCAAGATTCAGCATTTTGAGCCTAGCTATGTTACCAATCTCTGAAGGCAAACCACCTGTCAAGGAATTATCGGACAGATCAAGTGACTCCATCTGGGGATAAGTTGACATCACAAGTAATTCATTAACACGGGAGGCTTGAAGTGGAATTGGTCCAGTGAAATAATTTTTGGAAAGATTCAGGCTTTTCAATGTTGTAGAAGTGAAGAAACTGCCAGGAATATGCCCACTGAGTTGATTCAAACTGAGTTCAATAACAGATAATCTTGGAGATGTATCCAATAAAGCAGGCAAGGCACCAACAAGGGAATTATTCTTAAGATTAAATGTGTTCAAATCCTCAAAGAGAGACAAGTTTGACAGGCTACCTGACAAATTGTTTGAACTCAAATCAAGATCCACCAAGGAGGCTTCCCAATTCGATATAACAGATATGTCACCAGATATCATGTTGCTACTCAAATCAACCAATTCACAGCTAATTAAAGAAGAGGGCAAATCACCAGACAACTGATTAGACGAAAGATTCAGAACCTTCAACGTTGTAGAATTAATCATGCGAATGGAACCTGTACAGATTTTGATAGATGTGAAATATCATATGACAGTCAAATTCAAACGGAAGACAATATTAAGTGCAACAGGTTAATAAAATTAAAAATTAAAAAAAAAGCATAAAGGAGTCGAGGATTTCATTTTGGCATATCAAATTATTACTGTCAGTACTTTAGCCACATTTGAACAACTCATTGATGGGATTCAGTGGTGCATTTTTTGGGCATAAAAATATTCCCAGTTTAGTAATCGCTATTTTAAGTGAAAGCATGATCAGCTCAGATTTAGAGGACGGATACTTGTTAAACGGTCTAACTGCCTAGAATAGCATCCCCTTAAGCAAGCATTATATTTTGTTTGAAGCACATCTAAAGCATACCAATGATGCAGGAAGAAATGCATCACACTTTCATCACTCAAGAGTAAACAAAAAGTATAAAAACCAAAAGAAACAAACAGAACATTTTCCTTTGTTTCACACTCAAGAGCTTACAGGGACAGTAATGATGATGCCTTTACAATCGGAATTAAGGGAACTTATTTCTTGGCAAACTATTCCTCTCTTTGCAACTTATTGCCCTAAAAACATTTACAATCGGATCAAAGGATGATTTCAGCTAAAATTCAACCTAAAACCCCCAAAAAATACTTCAGATTCATAAATTTCTAGGAAATTACAATTTAGAAAACTATTATGTAAACCAAATAGACCAAAAAAATGGGGGAAAGAAAAAAAAACGTGGGTGTTGAACTAACATTGCTTTCATGTGAAAATCAGAACAAAATGAAGTTTGGCATTGGTTTCTAACATCAAAATCTAAGGATAAATAACACTATCTATTATTAGAATCCAAGAAATAGGCGCATGTTTAGCCCGAAACTAGTAGCCTATGGACTAAATATCCCAACTTCATTATCAAAACAATGAAATAAAGAGAAAAAGGAAAAGTCAACAACAAGTCAATACCCGTGAATCCATTGTGACTGAGATCCAACTCCTCCAACGGAACAAAACCCTCAAGCAACTCCACCGGCACCGGTCCGAAGAGCTGATTTTTACCCAATCGCAAAACCCGCAAACCCGGCAATGACCCGAAACTTGGCAACTCCCCTGCAATCGAATTATCACCCAAATCCAAAACCTGCAAATTCTTAAACAAACCAACTGCTTCCTCTTTCAAGAACCCACCATTCAACTGGTTATGACTCAAGTTCACATGACGAACTGTATTAGCCAAACTGGACACATTCTCAACCGACACATGCAAACCCCCGTAAAACTCGTTATAACTCAAATCAACGTGTTCAACGTTCCTTAACTCACTGAGTAGCTGGCCTATATCGCCTCGAAGCGTATTGTTGTGTAAATCTAACACTCTTAATTGCTGTAAATTTCGGAACCCGTCTGGAAACCCTCCGTCGAACTTGTTTATCGACAAATTCAAATAATTTAACCCGTAAAGGTCTGCGATCCGACCCGGGATAGGACCGATGAACTGGTTATCAGACAGATCTAAATATTGCAGCGAGGTTATCGATCCCAATGCGGGTGCAATCCGACCCGTGAAACTGTTGCCCGACAACGAAAGGTTCTGGAGGTTCCTGAGAGGAATGAGAGTGTGGAACTTGAGGTCGCCGACGAGGCAAAGATGGTCTAAGTTGATGGAAACGATGAAGCCGGAATTGGGGTCGCTGGTTACGCCGGTCCAAGAAGTAGGGTCGGGTCGGGTATACGGATCCCATACCGTAAGCACCTTATGGAGAGGATCGTGCTTGATGCCTTTCTTGAACTCAAGCAAAGATCGGAGCTCCAACGGGTCAAACCCAGATGAAGAAGCCAGCCCCAAAAACAACAGCAACAAGAGAAAATAAAAAGAGAAAGCGAAAGAAACAGAGAGATTCATCTAATTCTTTGAGTAGAAGCTCCCAAACCAAAAGAATAAGAAGAAAGAAACCCAGAAACTGAAGATTCTTCTTACAAAACAAACAAAAAAGTTTCGGTTTTTTTGGGATAGAAAACTTCTTTTTTCTTTCAGTAACTCGAGAGAATGGAAGAAAGGGGAAGTCGTTAAAAATGGCGGTAGGGGTGAAAGGTGAAGAAGATGGTTGGTAGGGAAAGAGGAAGAGTTAGCAAACGCCCTTATTGCCTTAGCTTATGAGAGCTTAAGAGAAAGAGAATCGCCTCTTATTTTGTTGCCATTTATATATTTTTCTTCGGATTTTAGTATTGCAGAGCTATAATCTTTACTGTCTCAATTTTCAGTTAATTTTGTTCTTCTGGGGGAAAAAAGCCCTGTTTTCTTCAAAGATATAATCAAAAACGAGTTCACTTACTAATGTTTGATTATATGCGAGGTGACTTTATCAATTCTTTAATATGATAATTTTGTGTTTCTCTGGATCTAATTTGATATCTGTTTCTTTAAATAATTTCGTAAATAAATTATTAAAAACATTTATATAAAGAGTTAATTAATTATTAAAGTGATACTCATTATTCTCTTATAGAATAAAGATATATTAAAATTCATAAGTACTTCAATGGTTAAAAAATGTGTTGTTTTCTCTAAATATTTTAAGTTTAAATAAATGTGTTTACGAAGATGTGTGTATACTACTTTGTAATTACCATATAATATTAAGTATGCATTTGGTAATGCTGACTAAAAGTACTTTTAAATTTATTTTGACCGTAAAATCAATGTCATACGAATAAAATTGAAAAGAAAAAAATATTGTAGAAATATTGGTTTCAAACCAACCACAAAAACTAATATTTTTAACTTTTTCATTTCCAATTTTATGCTTAGAAATAAATTTATATTTATACTTTTACTAATGCATGGGTTTCACTAATTTTTCATGTAAAAACTTTGAAATTCAATTATCTTTATTAATTATGTATTTACATTTAATACTAATAACCTTAAAAACATAATTTATTGTTTAATAATTTAGTTTTAATTACTTAAAATAAACTAAAATTTATGATTTATATATTAAAATATTAACACTTAGTTATTTTTATTGTATTTTTATATTTTTATTATAGTTTAAAATGATATATTTTATATATAATAATTTCTTTTAAATTTATTTATAATATATATCTTTTTATTTTTTATTATTCAATGGTTAAAATGATAAATATATCATTTAAATTATTTTAGTTTAAATTTTAAATAAATTATTTTAGTTAAATTAGAATAATTAAAAAATTATTTTAAAATTCAAATGTTAAAAAGTATTGATAATATATATTTTTTATAAATAAAATATTTCATGTATACAAATATTATTAATGAGTTATGTTAAAAAATTTATATTTTTATTATAATTTAAGTTGATATATTTTATATATCATTGTATTAATAAATATAAATACTTTTTAACTTACAACATAATGTCTAAAATAGACCTATTGTCTTTTTAAAATCATTCTTTAATAACAATCTTAAAAAGTTAAATTTTAAACTACATTTTAAAAAAATACTTTTAAAAGTCACTTTTAAAAAACAGTGTCAAACTGACCCTAAAAAATATTTAAATATACTATGTCAATCATGTTTGATTAAAAATATATTTTTTATTTTACAAAAAAAAAAACATAAATTCATTTTGTGTCTTTTAGATTTTATGTTTTTCTCGATTTTGCATGATTTTTTTAATTTATATTTAATATTTAATTAGTGAAGATACTAAATAATTTAAATAATTATGTTATTTGAATGAAATTCAAACTAATCCTAACCACTTTTACTTTATACTTTTCATACATTCCTCACTTCATCAAAATTCTCAATTTCTCTCATATTTTTTCTCTTATTTCTAACTCACTTTCTTTCAAAAAATTTCTTCTAAACATTTCTATTTTTGTTTATCTTTTAAAAACAAGGTAAGATCTTAACAATATATCATTTGAAGGGTTGATAATGTCTTTAGAACAAGTTTATGTCCTCCCAAATTTAGTTTCCAAAATCAATTGAATTTCCATACAATCTAAAACTCTATATTTTTGTTCTTAATTCGTTAAGTATGATTTCTAAATGACTTTAGAGTTGTATTGATGTTATTTAGTGGGATAATATCTAGAATCAATGTAAACACCCCAAACTTAACATTAGCTTTCTGTCGAATTCGTGAGTGACACATTCAATCACCGAAGTGACCCTAAATTTTACAAATTCTGATGACATGACTTACTTAAAATTTTAAAACAATTTATACAATAATAAAAAAAAATATAAAAATTATAAAATCGGAGCTTCTTTATTTAAAAAGACAAATTCGTAAATAATGCATTTACGACATGACTCAAATAAAAATATTATTTACATGTTCACTTAAGTAGTCATCATCGCGAGTCATGAAACATGTAACCTACAAATGAAAATAATCCAAAGTTTACAAAACTCTAGTGGTCCACATCTACTCTACTATATTTCATGAGTTTTATAAACATAAACATGCAAGTCTATTATGAATTAATAAGTATTATGCACTTACTCTTATAATCTTTAATTATTATTTGGGTTTAACATACTTAATTAAGGTATCGAGTGCAGCCTATTCAAATCATCCATCGTATATATAATAATAAAATATTAATATAAAATAAAACACATATATATAATAAATCATTCTTATTTCGATATACAAAATAATTATAAGACATTGACTTGATATAAATAATTCATAGAACATATGATAGCATATTCTAAAATCATATTTCATTAAAATTTATCGGTTAGATTTGAATATCGAAATTCGAGGCGTTACGATGAAATTATTAAAACATGATTTTAAAGAGTTATGATATTCCTTGATGATTTAGTTTTCGGAAACTGGATCTTGATCTTAATTGTAAAGTTACTAGGTTATTTGTGGACAAAATTAGGTTGTGGCTTGAAGTAATTAGGGATTTTAGATGTTCTTGTGGCTAATTTATATGTGATTTGAGAGTTATAAGGGGAGGGAAGATCTTGTCAATCAAGTAATTAATTTGGTCTTAGATTTTGATTTTAGAGTTGATCTTTTCATCACTGTCTTAGTTGTTGAATGAAGAGGTATTTTAGTAATTTTTTTATTAAGCTATAAGGTGATTACAAAGTAGTATATGTTCTAAGTACTTTTAATCATTTGACAATGAACGCTCAATCACCCTTGTAGTCGTTGGTGCTCGAACTCGTGACATCTAAAAACAACAACGATTCTTTTAATCACTGAGGTAAGTTAGTTCGTGCATATTTGAACAAATTTTAATTGAAATGTCGTGCATTATTATATATAATTGAAGCTATGAAATCGCTGGTGGCATCCTTTAAAAAGATCAAGGGGAAGGAGAAAGTAATTTGACCAATTGAAGTTCGACGATCTTTGTTTCAACGAGTGCTTAGTACAACTACGAGTTCACACAATCCACAGATTTATTTAGGATACTAGGAGTATGTTGAAATCATATTATAAGTTCTTTAGTGACACTAGAAGTGTATACATGAGTTGGAGTTTATATGATAATGAACATTATTCTAAATGAATTTTACAAATGTTTTGATGCATTCCAATCAGATTTTAATGTGTTTAAACATTTAATTAATTCGTTTCTAACACTTTAAATATAGTGATATGTCATATAATTGAGTATACTGTGTGTTTTATGGTGGTGCGATAATCATGCATGTTTAAAGACATAAGATAAACTCTATGAGTCATACCAAAATTCATAGTCACATTGAACTCTATCAGTCATCTCATTGGCCATTATAATTGTTTTTATATGTATTTGATTACTATACTCTATGAATTCTACTGAAGCAATATAAGGAGATATGAATATTCGTTGTTTGTTGTACGTACATTTTGATTCTCTCCATTTGCTATCCTTTCCAACCGAAATTTTCCTTCTCTCTTCTCTAATCTTTGATGAAAATCTTAAGTGTAATTCCTTCATCTTTTCTTCATGCTTGCCGAAAATTTCATAACTATCTTCCATCGATTTCAAGCTTTCTTGCTTCAAGTTTTCAAGATCTTTAATCAACCTTTGATTTCCATTTATTCAGCAAAGTAATCTCCATCTCTTTGATATTCTTGATCATTCTTTAACGATGATATTGTTATATTTTAACTCAAATGAGATTAAAGATTACTTGGTAATAAGTAAATACTTTTTTTTTGCCCTTCCAAACAAGTGTTTGTCTTAACTAATCCGGATCGGCTCGCATCGCACACTTGCCTTTGGTGGTTGAGTCTCTGAGCAAAAATCTTCTGCATATACAAGGACTTGACCTCAAGACTTATTTCCACGATATCAAACTACTTACCACTTGAACTAACCTATATTGATAGTAAATACTTATTTTAATTAAGTGGTTTAGTTGGTTAAGCCCAGTTAGCACCAATTTGTTAAGCAAGCTGGGCTAAACCATGGTCAATAAAATAGGCCAAATTGGCCCATTACGGCAACCCGCTAATTTAATTAGCCCATTAGGGCACCCAAACAATTAATTTGGGATTCACGACAATTTGAATAGTTTTCATGGAATATTATTTTTAACGGGACGTGTCAGGTGGGCCCCACACCTGGAATTAAAAAATAATTCTTTAGGGACTCGTCATGCTAATTAAAAAATAATATTTTTTGGTAAATTTTTAAAAGAAAAATAAAAAATAATATTTTATCTCAATGCCGTGTTGAGTTCCAACGAGTATAATTTTCAAATATTCTAATTTGACTTGTATATTATAGTGTAAAATGCAAAATAAGTAAAGTCCATTAACTGATTTAAGCAAAATCTAACTAAAACTAGCCCTAAATTAAACAAATAGGGTTTTAAAAAAATTACGAAAATTTATTGCATGTCTACCGGCGATATCAATTCTCATCTGAATATCTACTTTGGTTGCACCCGACAACTTCGTA